ACAACTTTTCTCTAAATTGATCCTTAGCTTCCATGGAGTTGTCCTAGTCATGTTCCTATAGCTTTGGACTCAATTTACTAGCTTAAGTCAGCTCCCAATATGTGGCCGCCTATGTACCTTAACAATGAAACATAATATAAGCTAAGTAATTAAAATAATAAGCATATAATATAAAGATGTGTAATATAGGTTATAATAATAAATCATACATTATATCATAATGAATGAATATGATTATCATAAACAGGGATGGGGCTAGGACAGCGCAATGTGTGCGACGGATCAGGGCCCCCAAAAATTAGATTTATTACTATTGTTACAATTAAAAAACAAACAAAGTATTATGGATCAGTGGTAAAATTTTTGGGCTCAAAACCACAGAACATGCGATCGAATCTTGTTGAAGTCATATGGGAAATACCAGTAATTAGTATTGTGCTACAGTTGTAAAGTTTATCTCATTTTTTTTGGGTCTAACTCCAATTTACGAGAAATGAGCTCATCTTCTTCAATTCACTTTACCAAACTTCAATTATTCATCTTCTCTCGTTAATTCTCATTCCCACCATAGTCATAAATTCCTTACCTTCCTTTAATTAATTAGTTCCGTTAATCTCAATTTTCCAACAACCACACTATTTTTAATAATTTGCTCAGGGCCTCCAACGTCCTAGCCCCGACCCTGATCATAAATATAGATATAACATATATAAATAAATATATTCATGTTATAACAAATGAAATATGAATCATATATTATGAATATAATCATCATAAACATAATGTAGAAAAGAAATAAATTAGAGAGAATCTCCGTTTGAATTTTATGAAAAGTTGGAGATGCAAAGATGAATATGATGCTGAATCAGTTCACATCACTGCTTTTACTAATCGAAGCAACCCCTTCCGATATTTACCTGGGTGGTCTTTACACAAGGATTTCAAATAATTTGTTTAAGACCATTGGAATTCTGATCTTCCTATCGTGGATTCGATTATAAATTTCTCTAAGGCGGCTTCCATTTGGAACTAGGACCTTTTGTTTCAATCGATAAGAATAAAAGAATTCTCATGACTAGGCTTTGGGGAGTGCAACGGTGCCTTGGTCCTCGTCGCTCCCGAAACCTCATTGTGTTGGAAATTAAACCTCTCCAGGAGCTTGATAATGTTCTGGATTAGGAAGAACATTTGTGGATCCAAAAATTGAGAGCAAATTGGATTAAATTTGGTGATCGTAACACCAAGTTTTTTCCTTCTAAGGTTGTCATCTGTAAGCGTCAAAATGGAATTTCTAGCCCAAAGCTCGACGATGGTGTTTGGCTTTCGGATGAGGGTGGTGTACGTGACGAAGCGATCCTTTACTTCTCACGCTTATTTGCTGCTTTGGAGTCTTATCAGGTCCTTATCCGATCACTGGTTGCTTTCCTCACCTTGTCGAACTCGACTCCCCTTCTTTAATTGCCTGCCCTACTGTGGATGAGATTAAATTTGCCCTTTTCGATATGGCACCACTCAAAGCCCCAGGAATAAATGGTTTACGTACTCATTTTTTTCGAAAGAAGAGTGATGATGTGTTTTAAAAAAATATAATTTTGAATTTTTTTAAAAATTTAAAATTATTAGAATATATGACACATATCAATTAACAGTTAAATTTAATGGTGATTAAGACCCAAACACCTAAAATAGTAATAACTGTAAAGTTATATATCTATTTTTAGTAAAAACAAATTTATTTATACACCAAATCGTATTTTGATGTATAGTTTAAACACTTAAAAGTATATTAAGCCTTATAAAAATATTGAAAATGGATATGATTATGAACAAAGAGGAAAAAATGAAGAGTAATCCCACTTTTTTTATGCGGAGATTGGTTGATCTAAAATATTTTAAGTATCTATTTTGATATTAAAATACTTTAGGTATTTATTTTTATCTAATTTTATATATTTGTTTTGACCAAAAAATACTTTAGATATTTATATGAAAAAGTTGATATATTTTAATACTTATTTGTGATATAAACCTTTAAAAAATAAAAATGGAAAAAAGGAGGGGACAAAAATAAAAAGGATATTGATGACACTTAATTTCGCCCGTACAAATTATAACATATATATATAGTATTATTTTATGATATTATAAGTTATAGTATATGTATGTTTATTTACATTATATTTTCTCTTGTACAGGCCCAAGTACAATCGTTTCAAATCCCATTACACAAGAAGCCCGTTTGGCATACTACACGTAACCCTAGTGGCCCAATAGCACACGGGACCTGAATCAATCTCCAAGTCAAACCCTAAAGCACCATTCCTCAATCGAAGTCCCCACGCTGCACGCCACCAACTCCGATTCTTCCGACGCAAGGAGAGCACGAGGCAACAACCCACAACCGATCATCTCTGTTCAACAACAGACAAGTCACAAATGTTAGTTTTTAACTAGGAATCAAATACCTAAAAATAGGGGTGTTTGAACATTATAAATAGCATGTAATTTCTATTGTATTGGACTACGGATTTTCATACTGAATACAAGCAAAGTTACTAGCAAATCACAATCAAATATTCAGAGTCATTTCGAAGGTTTCTTGCAAATATTTCGAAAAGAAAGGTAAAAAAATTTCATACCTTTGCATGTTGTTTTCTCTTGTCTTGTGCCTTTGTTGTGTTTTGGTTCGAAAGAAATCCAAAGAGAGCGTTTTTAGCCGATGAACAGAGGGGCTTGGTCGGTATCTTCTTTTGTAGATCTAGCCCCCGAGGCTCATTTTTTATAAAAAATATTTTGATTTTTGAAAACTAGATTTAAAAAGCTTTGGAAAACAAAGAAAAAAAATCGGGTTTTGCTGCCGATGAACGGTGGCCGTCGCTGTTCAACGGCGGTGGTGAGATGGCGCGAGGCGGAGCAACCGCCGGTTTCTGGAAATCTGGTTGAAGGTTGGTTGTGTTCTTCACTTTGTGAAGAACACTAGAGATTTGGGAGTTTGAGGGGGGCTCTCGATTTGGAAAATAAAAAAAATGAGGGTTGGGGCTAATTTTTTGGGTTTTATGCAACCCGACCAGGCCGACCCGATGACCCAAGTGGATCCCCAAGGGATCCGCGTGCTTTCAAAAAACAGGGTAAATTACTCTCTTGGTCCTTCTGTGTTATTAACGATCGCTTTTGACCCCAATCGAATTACATCATGCTTTTTGTTTCGAAATTTGGCTACCCAATTTAGTTTATTTTCGATTTAGTCACTTTTTGAGAGCCAATCTATTTTTTCCGTTTTCTTCTCTTTTCTCATTTTATTTAAATATTTTATATTTATATTAAATTTACTTATTTTAACGTTATTATATATTTACTTTTTCATTTTTTTACTATCATTATATTATTATTATTTTCTTATATATATATATATATATATATATATATATTCATTGTTATTATTTTTTTAGTGTTTATCTACATATGTATATATTCATTTTTATTATTTTACTTAACTATTGTTTTTATTTTATTAACCATGATAACTTATTATGCATGTATATATTATTGATATATTTTTCGTATTTTACTATTTTACTTTTGTGTACGTTTCATTTCCATTTTGTTTCCGTTCTTATTCTTGTTGATTTTTGTTCTCTCTTTACGTCTTTGTATCCTGATTCTTTTTATTTTCCTTGTTTATTTCATTTTATGTTTGTTTATTTTATCATTTTATTTGATTTCCTTATGTTATTTATTTTGTTATCATTTTTATATTTTTGGTTTTGTGAATTAACATTTTATATCTTAATCCGATTTGACTTCTCGTTACAAATTTAACATTTAACATTTAAGTATTTTGAAGGGTTTTCGTTCAGCTAATCAGAGGTAAGTAATTCAGGATCAAATTTTACCTTTTAATTTAAAATTATAATTTTCTTAATTTAAGACAACTGGAAATTATGTAGTACCGAAAGGGCGGTTCAAGGGTGCTAATCCTTCATTGACAGTAACCGACTCCCGAGCCCAACACATTTCTGGTAAGACGCGGATCAGGTAAAAAGTAAGGTATCCGATCTACCTATTTGGTTTTAAAATAAAAGATCGATGGCGACTCCAATTCATTTAATCCAAGTCGAAGCCCAATTCTGAGCCCAACCGAAAGATGATTTCGACATATATATATATATATATATAATGGATTTATTTGACATTAATCCACAGAAGTCAAATAGTTAATTCTAGTGTTGGGAGTTTGAAAATGACGTGATAATTTTAAAAGTTATCATGAGATACAAAAGATAAAAAATATATTTAAAAACTACATTATTTTAAAATGTTTGATATTTTCAGAATTTTTTTATTTAAAATTTAAAAAAAAATCAAAAGTTTATAAAAATATATCATGTGACATTTTTTCATGTTGAACATTACTTTTTTGAATTAAGTATAATTATTTTAAAGATAAACCAAAAACAATCAAAATTCTTTTAATATTAGTCGGTTTAAGTAATAGATTTAAAAATATTTTTTAGGGTGTATGTATATGTATTAATTGTACATATATTTTACATAATATGAATATAAATAAAATTGTAGGACGATGATAATCAATAAAATAAATAAATAATTAAAAAAAATCAAAATTTCAAAGGGAAGTAGGTATTCGTACAAGTGAAGTGATTGGTTTATGCAATTCTCATGGATAACAAAACGCATGACTAGCTTAAATTTTCTCTTCTTTTCACCTACCAAACACTCTGACTCAAAATTTCAAAGAATTTGCTATCTCGAGATCGCAATTTATTGTGCTCAACTGTCAACAACTTTCAATTTCCTATATATAAGACATTTTCCATGCAACACTAGTTGGTAAGCTAGGTCCACTAAAAAGCCATTTACCAGGAAAAATGGGTAGGTTTTTTGCATTTCTTGTGCTTTTTTTGGTGGTTTTGCTGCATGCAAGCCATGCACGTAATGTGCCGGTCGATGTCGGCCTCGATAAGCGGCCGGTTGATGGCTCAATGGACGAGCAAACGTTGCGAGCCGGTGCACCGCAGGCGGATTCACCAAAGGGTAGCGGCGTTGATGACAAGAAGAATTTTATTTACGTTGGAGTTGGCGGCTTCGCTGGGGTGGGTGGCTATGGCGGCATGGCTGGTGGAATCCCTTTACTCGGTGGCCTTGGTGGGATCGGCAAGTTTGGCGGAATCGGTGGTGCAGCTGGAATAGATGGCTATACGGGTATGGGTGGCCTAGGCGGTTTAGGTGGCGTTGGAGGTCTCGGCAGCGGTACCGGAGGCGCAAGTGGTCTTGGTGGCGCTTTCCCATCCCCCTGATGTTTTAGTTAGCCTAGTTATGTTGGTGATGATGTCTAGTTATTATGTTCTAATTTGCTTAGGTTTGCCGTAGTGGTCTCTTCGGAGACAACGTGGTATGCTTGTTTTGTTGCAGTGCTTTCTCCTTTTACTGTTTCTAATGTTTTTCGTCACTGCATGCATGGTAATGTAATTGTATCTCGATTTTAAGGATTTAAATAATTGTTGGAAATGAGGTTTTATGCATGGAAACATGATTTGAAAAGTTTCTTTAAATTCTTTTAAGAAACTTAAATATTTATCTTCATTAAAGGATTTAATTTAAAATTTTTAAAACATAAAAACAAGTTCTTTTAAAACCTTTAAAAGACTAAATGTTAGTTCTCTGAAGTTTGGAGTCTTTGTCGATTGTGGTAGCAAACGCAGATTTTCATTCTACATAATTGAATCTGAAGGAAAAATATTTCAAAAGAAAAGTTGAGAAAATAATAACAATAAAATGGTGGTGTGATCTTTATTCAAGTTTTTCTCGCTCAATCCCTTAAGAAATACCTAATTTATTTGGTTTATACACCAGATGGTCGAGCTGGAATCCGTATTTTCTTTAAGTTCAACCTAAAGCAAAACCGGACTGTTAGAACTAAACATAAAGCAAGCAATTGTGGCTAAAATTCAAGAGAAAACTGTACTGCTGGTTTGCATATCTACCATGTGTACGGCCTCGGGTGCCACGAAATTACTGTTTTACCATTAATGCCTGCCAATAAATCATGTGTGTTTAGCTAAACATTAATGCCACGAAATTACTGTTTGTGTTTTTTTTTTTCATCCTGGTTTAAAACTTCGTCTTGATTAATTTGAATTAATTCTGTTTCATATGAGTTTTTCAATGGAGATTTTTTATACACATAAAAGTTTAAATTTGATATATTCGGTTTAGCTAAGATGAGACTCGGTCAAATAAAACAAACTTTTCAGCCCAAGTTCTTAGCTTCTGTTTGTATTTCAGAGTGAAAAAAAGGGAACCAAAATATTTCTAGTTCAAGCTATAAAGGGATCTCCCATAGCATCCACCGCAGCACAAAAGCCCTACTCACTCAAGGAACCACAGTCAGTTTTTAATCTTTCATTTATATTTTGAAGAAGCAAAAATGAGTCCGCGTTCGATCAACTGCGTCTGCTGGTTACTATCGCTACCGCTGCTTTTCGTTGTGAGCGAAGCGGGTTTCTTGTTGCACAAAGCGGATATATTAATCTACAACGACGTGCTTTCCGGGACGAATCTCACCATCCATTGCAAACCCAAGAACGACGACCTCGGCGTCCATGCTCTACCGTACAAATAATATTTTATTAGGATCTTTTCAATCCTTTAAAATGCTAATATTGCTATTCAGCAAACTAATAGAATTTTATTCAAAGTTTACATCTTAGTGTATATTCACCTTAAATCTCTCTTAATTAAAATTTTCAAATATTAATTGATGATTTTTTTTGTTTGGATGTTAATACTGGTGGTTTTATTATAATTTGAGGTGATTACAAGATAGAGTATCTACTTAAAATCTGTCTTAATTATTGACAACGTATACATCCTATAGATGTAAATACTTGAACCTAGAACCTATGGGAAAACAATACTCATTTTCACTATGAAATCACTAGATAGGTTCATATTGGTGATGTTTTTTAGTGAGTGATTTTATTTGATTATTTAATGATTTAGTTTTAAAATGATTTTTACTTTTATTTTTATTTTTTAATAATGATTGATATATAAATTTTCTTATAACTAATTTAAATTGAATATGAGAGAGATCCAATAAAAAAATTAACCATTTCAATTCAATTTACTCATTAACAATATTGATTAATATATTTATTTATTTATTTCATTTGTCCTATTTTTTCAATACTCAAAGCTGCTTTTCATTTCAAATCAAAGCTAATTTTTTTTACTGAAAATATATTGATAAGTATTATTTTTATTCTTGAAACAAAATGAATATAGTGTAAACATTTAGTATATAACATAAATTTGTTATTTTATCTTTTTAATTTTTTTATTGATATTTCTTTGTTAATTTTCATTTTATTACAATTATTGCTAGTCAATGGTTTCTTTTTCACAATGTTAACATCTTTAATCAATAACCATTTCATTCAAAAGCCTGGTTACCTCCTTCCGCTGGTCCAAATTATACATACCGTGAATCAGGCAATTATAAGTGACAGTATTTGGTCTAATGCCCTTAACCTTCAGTTCATAAAAGAGGTTGAAAGCCTCTTTTTTTTGAAAGAGGGTATTTTTATTAATGATAAAAAAGAACACCACCTCAAGGACCTCATTAAAAAACCCCTAACCCTAAATGGAGGAAAAAGAGTACCTTGAGGTGGTAAAGAACTTAAACACATAAAACTTTAACAACATTCATACCATACCTCCGCCCTACCACAATCCCCAATCCAACACAAAATGAAACCAAAATAGACAAACCTACAAAATGATACAACAACAGCACCCTGAACAAGAACGACTGCTAGCACTAAGAAATGGAAACACACTTGCTAAACTTCCAAAGGAAACAACTCCCAAATTGCAGAAATTGCCAGTATTCTCAGACCATGACAGCAACAAACATCCAGGGATCGAATACTTCTCAATGCTTACCAGCTAGCCCAACTCGTCTGGCATAGAAGAAAATTTATTCCCATCGAGAAACATAACTTCCAGATACTGAATCTTCCCGAGGTTAGATGGATCACTCGACAAGATTAGCGACTAACATCAAACACCATTGAACAATGGACTTCAATCTCTCAAGCACCCTCTTCCTTAAAGCTTTAAACTGCACCATTGGTCTCTAACAAGCCCACGGCAGAATTAATAACTCCTTCTAAATTGGAAGGAATTTTCACTATGATAACCGTAGATGCTTCACACCCGATTTCCATCCACTCTACCTTGAATAGCTGAAACTTCAACTATTGAACTTCTAATAATCTAGCATTATTGGAGATGGATTGGGTCATTTCAATATGGGTTGGCTCTCTATTAATACTGCCTAAACCAATGTATCATCCACCAACCATCATTTGACACTATGGCACGTCGAATAAACTATTACCGATAGTCACCTCATTTCCCACAACAGGAACTGCATGCGGATACCAGCTTTACAGGGTACCATCTTCACTTTTCTTTTTTAGTGTTTCATTGAAACTTTCTTCAATGAAATTTACCTCGTAACCAGCATCTGTAGCAGAACCCTCCTGCAACCTAGGAAATATCTCATCACCACTACTGTTGTATTTGTCGCTCCACCACCTACCGGAGTGCCATCAATGAACACACAAAGCATTACACAAACACAGGAGCGGACAATGGACAGCATCAATAAGCAACACCAAAGAACATATAACTAGCGAAAGCAAACATAAGACATCTACAGCAACAACACACAATCAAACGCGGTAGATCACCAAAGCACAAGAACGACACCACCCACCAAATCATAGACCATTGGACAACCACACCCACCAAACAGTAAACGGTGAAGTGAGGTAATCCACCAGAACAATTTGTCGACCAATAATACTTGAGCCACAACAAATCAGACTAACAATAAAAACAACCTACTAAAAACCTTACTCTAAAATACAATTTATAAACTACTCCAACTCCTTTTAGAAACCACGACAAAAACTTCAAGACCAAAGCCTTAAACCTCCACAACCCCTAACAGTCACACACCAAACTCAAATAATTCTGAAGACACTAAATCCTAGAGAACGTCACTTCCAAAACCAACATCATTTACGGATCCAATCCTAGAGCCTACTCGACTCATCTTCTATGTAATAAACACACTCAGAACCTCACCATAGCGATCCACAACCTGCCATAGACCTTACCAATGAAGAGTGTTTGATAGAATATCCACAAACAAAGAAACAGATACCGACGGAAGACCTGAAACACTCACCCACATACTGTATTATTTCAAACGAGCAATAGATTGGTTCACTATGTGTTTGTCCTTTACACAAACAACTTGCATACAGTTTTAACTATCGCAATCTGACTCCAGAAACTTACTAGAAACCCACGTAGAAACTCAAAACAATGAAACTAATTCATATATAAACCAAATCTCAAGCACGAACCATCAATCAATTAGAAATAGGGATAAAATCACAACTGGTAGAGAACAAAACGATCTCACCAAGCTAGAAGAGAACACCCAATCAATCGAGTAGAAAATTTGGGGACGAAAGCTAATGAACCCTAATCTCTCAAAATACCAAAATAGGGCCAACCAGTCCCTTGTTTAAAGAACATAAAAAAATATTCAACGTCACTGTGTTGGGCTTTTGAGATCTTGAGAGAAGCGGTCGAAGAAGAGCGTGAAGCAGCAAGGGCGGTGGTGGCCACCACCATCCAGACAATGACAAGGATTGGTTTCTGAAACTATCCGAGAAAGAGGTTTTCTTAGATCAATAAAGTTTCGGGTGTTATATGTTATAATATCGGGTTTTAAAACCTCGTCCTTCCATCATCCTTGCTTGAGATTTGGTTTATGTATGAATTAGTTCATAATTTTGAGTTTCTGCATGGGTTTCTAGTCAGTTTCTGGAGTCAGATTGCTATAGTTAAAATTACATTCAAGTGTTTGTGTAAAAGCCATTGTGATAAAATAGGGATAAAATCACAGCTGGTAAAGAAAAAATGATCTCACCAAGCTAAAGAGAACACCCAATTAATCGAATAGTAAATTTAGGGATGAAAGTCGATGAACCTTAATCCCCAAAAACACCAAGACAGGGTCGATCAGTCCTTATTTAAATAACATAAAAAAAGATGAAAAAAGATCCAACGTCACTGTGTTGGGCTTTTGAGATCTTGAGAGAAGCAGTCGAATGAGAGCGTGAAGCAGCAAGGGCGGTGGTGGAGGCGGCCTCCACCACCCAGACAACGACAATGATTGGTTTCTGAAACTATCCGAGAAATAGGTTTTCTTAGATC